CAGTAGCCGTCAGAGTATCTAGCTACCTTACTTCAAAGCTGAGACACTCAAGCCAGTCGGTCCGCACAGTCTGTTTCAGCGGATCCTTCCTCAGCTGCAGCGACGGAGTCAAGTGGTGGCGCGCGAGGCGTGCCTTGACCGCACTGCTGTAGGCGGCAAATGTCTGGCCCTCGGGTGGTCGGTGTCGGGGCGCTGGCATGCGCTGCCACTGCCGCTGGATAGTCTCGTCAAACGAAGGGTCGGACACCATGGCCTGCGCGCCGGCGCCCTCCCACCTGCGCCTGCTCGCCTCGATGAAAGCAGCGAGTCCGGCCGCGCTGTCACCCAGCCCTCGGCTGTCCCACTGCAACTTGCGAAACTCCCACCACTGCATATACTGCCTTGAAAAGACAGTCTTCAGCTCCCCGGCCCCAGTCTCCGAGTCTGGACAGTCGCTAAGCCATGGCAGGATCGCTTCATGTCCTTCCGTGGGCGCTGAGAGGGTGCGGGAGAGCTCTTCTACGGAGCAAACCGGACGGCCGCCGTCTCTGGCCAGCTCCTGGCGACTGGAAATCTCGAACGCTTGGATGGCGAGAGGTGGAGGAGTGCTCGCGAGAGAGTCGTCGGGTGGCGATTCGGGGAGTTCGGGGTCCGGAGAGTCGTCATGCCGGCTGGCTACCTGCCGCAGACGCGCTTCAAGGTCATCGATGCCAAGCGGTAGCAGCGAGGCTGCCTTGCTGTCCCGAGAGAAAAGGTGGTCAGCTCAGGGCAGGCCGGTGCAACCATCGCGAAGCTCTCTCTCACCTGAGTTTTTGCGCCAAGGCCCTTCGCTGGCCCCTCGAAAGCGATTCCACACCGGCAAGACTGGAAATATCGAATTCGTCCCCACGGTCCTGTGTCTTGAGATAGCCAACAAGCTGTTTTTCGTCGTACGCGAGGAGGTCGTTGGCAGTCACTGCAGTAGTTTGTGATTCTGATGCAGCGACTGACATTGGAAGGGTTGAGTGCAGCCCACCAGCGATGTGGTTTGGGGGATATGTATTATTGGTGGGGTGGGGGAGAAAGTGAGAGGGACGGAGCATGGGGCATTGGGAAGGGAAGGGGGAGCGCGTTTATTTATTAAACTCGCTGGGGCGTGCCACGTGCCACGGTGCCCACGGTGCCACACACCATCGCCGCCTGTGGGTTGGGCCAAGGCTCCATCCAGCCTCTGCCGCCCATGCCTGCCTAGTAAAAGGACCAATAATATAATTATGGCACGCTGTTGATTCACGCCAAAGACTTGCTGCTCAGGCATCATGCGTACGTTTTTTTCACCCTTGGATGAGCTATGGTGCTGTGCTCCTATGGCCCTGTTATCAGCCCATCGACCGACTTCTCCTGCGCTCCACGGCGGCATCTTGCACCCCTTCTCCCTTGTCCTCGACGCCTCCAATGAGGTAGCCAGCAACCAAGGATGCGTCGCCGTCGTTGTCGTCATCCTCCTCCTCCTCCTCCTCCTCCTCCTCCTCCTCCTCCTCCTCCTCCTCCTCCTCCTCCTCCTCCTCCTCCTCCTCCTCCTCCTCCTCCTCCTCCTCCTCCCCGTCCTCCTCCTCCTCCCCGTCCTCCACCTGCGGGTCCTCCTCGGTCTGCGTAGCCTCGGCATTCCAGATTTGTGTGACTGCAGCTAGCCTGTCGTCGCTGCGATCACTACTGTCGCTGCCGTTGCTGCTGGTGAAGCCTGCGCCTTCACGGCCTCCAGAGCCCTGCAGCAAGCCAACCACCGTGCTTTCCGGGGTCTCGACTTCAATCGTTGGGAGAATCAGGCTCTGCGGAGTCTCCGGGCCAGAGCTCAGCAGCCGCCGCGTCTCCCCCTCTTCACCAGCACTTGTCCCCGTCAAGACCCTCGATGCCCACAGCGTAGCCGGCGCCGGGGACCGAGGGAGTTGGCGTGGCTGAGCCTCCGCCATCCGACCTGGCGGCCATGCTTTGCAGGAGCTTCCCCGCCTCGGTGGTGACATAATCTGCCGACGACCTCTCGTCCGGATCCTCGACCAGCATGCTGTCGATGACGAGCCAGAGAAGCTCGTTCCCTTGCGCCTGGTATTTGTCGACGACGTAACTCTGCAACGCGTGTATCCAGCCCACTGCGTCGGTCTTCCACTCGTCCTCGTACTCCGGGAGCCCGCACTCCAGCCATGCAATGACGGCACCGAGAGACCAGACGTCGACGGCCACGCCGTACGTGTCGTCGGCAGCACCGAGCGGATCGGCGACCTTAAGGTAAACCTCAGGGGCGGCCCAGAGCAAGGTACCGCAGCATGTCTTCAGGACGTCCGCCGCTTTGGAGAGGCCGAAGTCCCCAAACTTGACGCGAATTCCATTCGCCCCCCCTCCCATGAACGAGCACGTTTTCGGGCTTGATGTCACGGTGCCCGATCGATAAGCATAGAGTTGTCTAAGGTTGTCTGTTAAAGGCTGGGAAGCCATATGATGCCAAAACAAAGCAAGTTGGATAAGTCTGCAATGGTGCCGTTATTAAACGATGTTGTCAGACAAGGCTATGTCTGTGTCAAGGGTTTTGTAAGCAATAGACCTGGGCCGTGCGCCACACCTGGGCCGTGCGCCACACCTGGGCCGTGCACCTCACTCGTGACAGCTTGGGTGGCAGGTCCGAGCGTTCGACAGGGTCTGAACCTTCATTTGGATGTGCTTGGGTGGCAGGACAAGATTTATCGCGGGCTTTGTCGTCCCAAGTAGCCAGAAAGAATGATCTTCACCTCATTCTCTTCTCTCCACCCCATGGTTCACTCTTGATGCATCCTTGGTTGCAGCAAAGCATCACCTCTAAGATATAGCGGTGGACTCAACCATGCAAATGGCGAACCCTACCGCTTCCAACCCCTTGGCACTTGCTCCTTCCTGCAGCACGTCCAACAGCAAGGCGGACGAGGGTGCCTCTCCGTCCGTAAACAGCGACGAGGATGGCGACCATGTCAAAGACAAGAAGGACTGCCAAGCAGGACGCAGGAAGCCACAACAGCAGTCTGTGCCGATGGCCCACGCAAAGACAGAGTGGTCTCTCACCCCAGCGCAATTCAACGCCAGCCACTTGCAAACACGCTCCCAGACACGCTCGACAAACAAACCAGCACACGCCTCAGCCAACAGCAAGCAGTCCAGCGACCTTGAATCAGCGTTGCTCTTTGTAACGAAATCCTGGCAAGGCGCCCCACTACCTGACGAGTCTGCGGGCTGGTATGAGTTTTACCTCCCTCCTCTCGAGTTTTCCGAGTTCCGCCAACGGCTAAAGTCTGACCGGCTCCTTGATTACTTTGAATACGGGCTCTACTGGGACTACAGTCCTGGAAGGGGTAGTCTCGTTCTACGCATGATGGCTACTGCCTTGCACGAAATCGTCCAGGAGGAACTCTCTGACCACATCAAAGACACTTTAAAGCACAGAGTCAGCTTGGTCAGTCCCGATTTTGCCTCCAAGATCAAATCCTACGGTTCTACCAGACTCCGTCTTGGCTTCATTAATGGGGAAACAAGCAGCAAGTGCCCAGACCTTCAGTTTCGCTTCGATGGAGGTATAAAGCCATCGTTTGTCGCAGAGATTGGGTACAGCCAACGAAAGAAATCCTTGGGGCAGCTTGCCCACGATTACTGTATTGGCATGATCAAGACAGTACTCACTATTGACGTGGACTACAACCCTCCAGCTGCCGCCGAAACCAAATGCGAAGCTGTGTACTCTCTGTACCGGAATCCAGATCGGGTCAACAATAACACACCTTTCCGCAACACAGATGGAAGCACTGCGCCCGGCGCCCTCCAGCTTGAGCTAGCCGATTTCATCCCCGACCAAGTCCTACAGGATGCAACGGAGGAAATCCGGGACAACATTGGCAACTGCCACATCGAAATCACACATGACCTCCTTTGCAAATGGCTGGAGCGGGCCGAGATGGCAGAATTAAGGGAGAACCAGGCCAAGGATAGCAATACCGGTCAGCCGTCTGAGGAGCCCCGGTTCCCAAACTGGTCCGACCCCAGTGATGATAATGACGACACTGGCGAGGAGGAGACTTCTCAGGAGCGCGAGACATCTCAGGAGCGCGAGACACGGGCCGCCAAGAAACGCAAAGATCCCGGTGACCGGCTGTACTGCCCTCCATCTTCTGTCAAGGCTGCAGACGCCCTCTCAGCGGCCTCAGCGGACGAGCGTCGTTATCCCCAACGCAAGCGAGCAAAGCGGGGATAGTGCAGAGCTCTAACGCCCGGCACAAGTACAAATGGCAAACGGCAAATGGCAAACGGCAAATGGCAAACGGCAAATGGCAAACGGCAAATGGCAAACGGCAAATGGCAAACGGCAAATGGCAAACGGCAAATGTCACGGCCGATACATAGAATCAGGCATAAGACATCAGGTCACAGTTGATTTGAGTGTTATTCTTAGCGAATGACTCGGCGCAAGCATATTTTCTAGGAATGATGATGAGTGTGGGTTTGCCCTACAAAAAGGGCGGTCCGACGCATGCCCTGCCCGGCTCTGGCCAATCAGACGGGCCGGTTCGGCTTAGTCAGCAGGAAGGACCGGCTTAGTCAGCAGAAGGGCCGACTATTACACCAAACGCTTCGGCGCCCACGCTGGCGATAGCTTCTTTCCTCCTTCAATAGCAGAAATCAAAACCCGTACCCAGACATGTACGGTGGTTCCTCATGCTCGCCCATTTGCACGTGCAAAGATCCCCTGACCTACGGCATCAGGGCCGTTCTAACAGACCCCTATATGCCTACTGACATTAAGTACTGTCACGTTGCTACTTCGGTCCTCATAGTCCTCTTTACCACGTTGCTTAACCTAATAACCTTAGAAGTCACGATAGCGCGACCATTCAGAAACTATATCAACCTCACCGGTGACGGCGGCGTAGTACTCGTGGTGCTCGTGGTACTTATAGTGCTTGTTGCTTGACCCAACAGTTTCTATTCTCCCTATATAGCCATACGTATTCTCTCTATCTACAATAAATGGCTGAGTAGTGTAATTGGATAGCACGCCCGGCTGCAAAGGTGGTGGTTCGATTTCCGATTCAATGATTGCAAAGTGAGAGCCACAGGCTCTCTCCATGACCAGATGACGAGGAGCCGAGAGGCTCGGGTTCGATTCCCGATTCAGCTGATTCTTTTTGCTAATATAGAGAGAGGCGCTTTGTCTGTTTACTCCTTGTTTTTACAGTATCACGCAAATGCCGTCTTAATACATAGACCGGGTCCTTCCCAACGCTAGTATCCCGCGTCATTTTGGACCGCAGACTCCCCACCTTAATTTGGTGGGGAGTCTGCGGTCCAAAATGACCCCTACCCATCCCACAGTTATGTAAACATAGCTGTGAGAAGGCAGGCTTTGAGTTGTATCCCTTGACGCTTTGATTTAACTATTATATAATATAGCCTTTAAGTTTGAAAAGAAATTAATTTAAAATGTAAACTATGATTAAAATGTTGTATATTTTTGTATAGCTAGGCTGTTATAACTCTGGGGCCAGGCTTTTTACAATAGTATAGCTAAACAGCTATAGACTAAAAATTTATAGGGCCATTAGGCAAATTAACTATAATATTATAGCATTTTGTGGCTAGCAACTTAAATAGTTTCTACTAATAGTTGTTTTTTTACTATATCCAGACTTTGCTTTATAATAGCAACGCCAATTAGTTAGTAATATTAGGCCTATTGTAGCTATAAAGTATAGTATTAAGCTACTACTCTGCCAAAGCTTTTTAGAGTACTTTTATAGCCTTGGTAATAGCCTTAATTCTTTTTAGCATTAATAGTAAAAGCGGTAAATCGGTATTTATCCGGAAACATATAGATACTAGCCTATCTGGCCTGGTTATATTATTAATAGCCTTAACTACTATTTAAAGGATAGTATTGTCGGCAACTAATCTAGATAACTTAATATAAAGGATATTAAATATACGGTATAATAGGCCGTAATACTTCTCTATTTTGCCTATCAACTAGTAGGTATCTATAGAAACCTGCTTATAGGTAATGCCTATTAGCCTTGCCTTGTTTGTAAGCTCTGCTGAAATAAAGTTAGTACCGGCGTTATAGACTAGCTAATTAAGGTATTGAGAAAATAGCCGCTATACTAGCTGCAAAAGCAACGCGCTGTACTTACAAGCTAGTAAGAACAACTTATATTTTCAGGACACTGTTTAACATAGATTAATAATAATAATAATTCTGTAAATGTTATAATAAAGGTATTGTCAAATAAAGCTTTAAAATACTTTATTAATACTAACGAGCTTACTATATAGGTAGAAGGTTATATAGATAGAAGTATGTAACAAGATATATAACTAAATATATATAATATAGAAGAAAACTTAATTATTAGAAGAATTAAAAGTACTAGTATAAAAAGTAGAAAACAGCTAGTAAAGGTTAGCTAGAAGTATATATAATACTACTACTACCAAATAAAGCTATTTTAAAGCCTTTCGGTTACCCTTTGAGTAATTACTCGTTACCGTGCCCATCTAACACTATTTGAGATTATAAAAGAAGTAACTGGTCTTTCTTGGCCAAGATTCGGGCATAATACCAACACGCCCACTGTTATGATCACACCAAACCTTTGTAGGGTTTAGTAGGTAACCTGTAGGGTTTATGTTAGCAGTACGGCGTAGGGGTGGTACTTGACTGTCCAGTGTAATGCACGAAGACTCTGCGAGTATGATCACTAGCTGTGAGGCTATCCAGTGGTTGGACTGAATACTTAGATTGACGACTGAAGAGTCTGTTCTATGAAAGCTATCTACGGTGGTGATGACCCTGTCCTTTTATGTTCCGACTCTTCATCCGTTTGGTGTGTGTTGGACCGTCTGGACCGCTATCGATGTCTACGGTCCAGCCCGTAGTCGCTGGGACCGCTGTCGGTCCTGTCGGTCCACCCTTGTGGTCGGGTTCCTGACCCTAACCCTAGGATTTGGCACATCCCGTGGTTTTGCCGACTAGTGCTATTGGGCTGACGTCGTGCCGTCCGGTTCGGAGAATGCTCAGACGTGTTTCTTCTAGCGCCAACGTGTTGGTTCATAACACCGGGATACTGGCGATAGTATTTTCCTTGCTTACAGTTCACATAATACTAGTTTACCTCTCACATATGCAGGTGTGTATACAGATTTGTGCGATCTTTTGTACCATTCTTGCCAGAGTACCAACCGCCTGCTCCTTATCTACTCCTGCTCCTTGTCTACTCCTGCTCCTTGTACTCCCTCCGCCCTGCACCACAAAAACCACTGATACCCACCACCTAGCTGTTGACACCGACTGTTGTTTCCGTACATCCTGACGACTTAACCACTTAGATTAGAGGGGGGATAGCCTGATGGTTGAAAAGAGGGTTGGTAGTGGTGGTAGTAGCGGTAGTGGTGGTAGTAGCGGTAGCGGTGGTGCCTTTTGCATTGTGACAGAAGCTGCAGACGGGCGGTTAGATGGGCGGTCAAACAGGCAGGGCGCACATATACCACAAGGCAAGCAACTTACAGTCTCAAGTTTCTCTGGCAGGCGGTAGATTGACTGATGTTGGACTAGCCTCGACTGGCAGCAGCCAAGGTGAGCCAGAGCCAGGTGGCGATGACGATGGTGATGATGATGGTGATGGCGATGGCGATGGTGATGGTGATGGCAATGGTGACCCGGGCAGACTGGTTAATGGCGTAGTCGGCAGAGTGGTTTGCGAGGGCACGCAGGACGGCCTCGGTGTCAGTACCATTGCCATTGCGGTTGGTGCAGATCAGTAGGGAGCCGTCGGTGTTGATAGCAGCTAGGTCCTGGTCGCTGGAGAGCTCCCTGACAACTTTGGCGACCCCATCCTAGGAGGCCGCCAAGAGTTGCGGGGAGTTCACGTTGATGCTGATTGTGTTGTTGGCAAAAGCGCCAGAACCAATCTCGGCCACCTTGCTGGAAACCATCTTGGCCACCTTGCTGAAAACCATGTTGGCCATGTCGGGAAGCATCTCGACAATCTTGGTTACAAATGGACCCATTTCGATGATGTCAATTTGGGTGTCAAGTTTCTCGGTATAGTTCGCTGAAAGAGGTCCAGAAAGAAGAGCGATGGTGACAAAACGGATGTTAGGCTGACGGTTGGGATCGGGATCAGAATCGAAATCAGAAGGGGAATCAAGAATGTGGCCGATGGTGGGGTGGGGCTGGCCGATGGTGAGGGCTGCAGGCCGGCCCATGGTGGGGGCTGCAGGCTGGCCCATGGTGGGGGCTGCAGGCTGGCCCATGCTGGGGGCTGCAGGCTGGCCCATGCTGGGGGCTGCAGGCTGGAACTGGCCATCACGGTAGACAAACCAGTGCTGGGAAATGGGGGAGGGGCCGCCACCGAGGTTGCCAATAGGGCCAGGGCCAGGCTGGTCAGAGAAGCCAAGCACGGCAAGCTGAATCTCTTCCGTGTCGCCCGACATGGTGTTGTCAGACATGGTGACCGAGTGGGTAAGTGAATTGAGTGCTTTGAAGGCTGTGTGTGTTTGTTCTGCAATACACGACCCGTTGTCGTTGTTGTTGCTTGTTGTTGCTTGTGTCGGGTGGATGGAGGATGGAGGATGGAGAGAAGGGAAGCAAAGGCTTAAAAAGACAACAGACTGTCCCTATCGCGCCGACATGCCTTATCGGTCACGGACCACGCTGCACACCTTGCCCAAGGCGCTGTGCCTGCCGGCTTTACAAGCTCCTCCCCCTTCCATATCTTAACTTATCTTTGTTATGGTAGTTGACTTGGTCGTTCTAGCTATAAGAGGAGTTAGGTTAGCAAAAAAACTTACAAAAGGGTCTTGTCGCCGTCTCCCTAGGGGAAGTTCTTGGTCTGGATGTTTTAATAGGGATACTCGGTACGCTCCTCCAGAGGGGCCATGTAAGACCAGTGCTCCCAGTACTCCGTCTACAGCTAGTAGGCGTTGGCGCCGGCGAGGCCGAGCCCAGGAATGCAGGCACTGTAGTTTCGACATGATCTCGAGGACTGCCCGCCGGCCCAGCTGTTCCCGGGTTATTGTCCTTACTCTTCTTTCCTAGCCGTTGGCCCGACCTTCTCGGCTACCCCCCTACCCTGACAGCCAGCCTTTATCTACTTCCACGGGGGACTTGGAAGGTTGGGTTGAGACCATGGCAACACAACACAACACAACACAATTGGCAATATCTTGGTGATGAGGAACGTGGTGAGGGACAGGGAGGGTAATGTTATACTAGATAGAGATCTTCTTCCAGAGTTTTATACAAGCGTCGTGTCAGTCCATCCATCTGCCCCCCTTTTGCCAGCCCAATTGGCCCATTGGCTCGACCTCCTCCCTCCAGCCCCCCCCCTCGGGAAAGAACTTACCAGTGGTGCCGGCGGCATGGTGCTTAACGGCCTCGCGCTCCTTAATAAAGGCGTTCTTCTCGCCGGCCTTGGAAGGGGCGGGCGAGCTCATAAAGCGGCGCTAGACGGCGGGGGAGCGCAGGAAGCACGGCACGGAGTGCAGGATCTGTTGCTGTGGGAACATTTTTTTTTTTGGCAGTTTGAGGGGGTGGGGGGGGGCTGCTCGACGATGGGTGTGGGAGTGGAGAGGAGAGGCTCGATTGTTTTCGGTTGGTGGTGGGTATTGTATTTTTGCTCGAGAAGAAGAAGGGATTCGGGGCGGTTGAGGCTGGGAGACGAGACGGGGTACTATTTATGTCAGCGGCCTTGGCTTGGCTTTCCCGGCCGGCTTCTGTCCGGCTGCTCGCGATCCTGCTGTAAGTTGTGTCGAACGCAACGCGACCCGGTAGTAGGTGCGCCGGGGGGTTCATCAGAGGTTCAAATGTTGAAGCGTCGCCGTGTTGGAATCTTGAACAATCAAGGGTGATCAGTGTAGAGTCAGTCTCGTGTTTGTGTTCTTGGGAAGATCGAAGGTCCTCGCCCTCCCCTGCCTACTCTGCCTACCCTCCTGCCTACCCTGCCTACCACTGCCTACCACTGCCTACTACACCTGCCTACCGCTTCCCCGTCTACTTTCAACCGGCACGGCGAAGACGACAGGAGACTGAGACCACATGACAGCTCAACAGCTAGCTGCAAGGATGGGTCTGCGCATTATGACCTGGAACGGTGAGCTCCCGCGCCCTTCCGGTCCCTTGTG